TTTCTTTAATTTTTTTGCTTTCCGAGTCAGGGTTTCTCTGTGTAGCTCTGGCTGCCCTGGAACTCACTCTGTAGGTCAAGCAGGGCCTCAAACTCACAAATATCTGCCTGCTTCTACCTCCCAGGTGCTGTGATTAAAGGTGTGTGCCACCACCACTGGGCAAGTCCTATGGTCTTTTTAAAGTTTCATCACTTTGGGGCTGGAGAGATGGCTCAGTGGTTAAGAGCACTAGCTGTTCTTCCAGAGGCCCTAAGTTCAATTCCCAGCAACCACATGGTGGCTCCTAACCATCTGTAATGAGATCTGGTGCCCTCTTCTGGCAGGCAGGCAGAACACTGTATACATAATAAACAAACAAACAAACAAATCTTTAAAAAAGTTTCATCACTTTAAAAATCGAAGCTCTCTGTAAAAATCCAGGGTCTCAAATTATAATGGACTTACTCTTGAGCTTTTGGGCTCCAAAGGGCTTGAGCAGCTCCATTTCTGACTGCCATCCACAGCATGTACAGCTTGTTTCCTAAGCTCATAGGCTCAAGCTAGCCCCCTCCACAGTTTTGGCTGCCCTTGGTGGCTGTCCCATGGTCCTAGCATCTACAACAAGCCAGGGCCTCCACAGGCTGCACCTTTGCCAATGGTCTCTTGGCCTCTCTGCAGGGACTCAAACCTCAGCTGTTCCCCAGGATGCCTTCAGACCCCAGCTCTCTGCTACCAAAGCCAGTAGCACCTGGGAGACTCACACATGACCAAGTTCAGCTGCCAGCTTGAGATGCAGCCTTTTCCACCCTCAGGACTACAGCTCTGTGTGCTGACCTGAAGGAACATTTCCCAAAAGGTCTTGCCTCAGTGATGATATTTCTTTTTAATCACAGCTGATTCTGCTCAGCTCTTACTGACCAGAAACCACTCAATTCAAAATATCCAGGAACAGACTGGATCGAGTCTTCGCTTCTCTCTGAAAGTTCACACAGCAGGCCTCCATTATCTGCACCGGTTTAAACATTCCTATCTTCCAGGCTCTCAACAGTTCACTAAGCTCTGAGCACTCAGTGGTTTTTCCAGCCAGAGTTCCAAATGTGTCCACGATCCTCCCCAAAACAACATGGTCTGTCTGTCATTCATTGCAATACCCCACATCTGATAGTGCTTTCTATCTTAGTCTGCTTTCTGTTGCTGTAGTAAAGCACCATGACCAAAAGCGACCTGGAGAGGAAAGAGTTTGTTTCAGCTTAGAGTCCATCACGGAGGGGGTCAGGGCAGGAACAGAGCAGAGGGTGTAGCGCAACAGTGCTTACCAGTTTGCTCCCTGTGCCTTATTCAGACGGTTTTACTTGGTTTTGTTTTGTTTCGAGACAGGGTTTCTTTGTAGTCCTGGCTGACCTGCAATTCACTCTGTAAACCAGGCTAGCCTCTCGAGTGGCTTCACCCTACTTTCTTATACCATTATAGCATGGGGTAACACCATCAACAGTGGACTGTGTTCTACCACATCAGTCATCAATCAAGAAAATGGCCAGTGTGGTGGCTTTACACCTTTAATATTAGCACTTGGGAGGCAAATGGATGTCTGTGAGTTCTAGGCTAGCCTGGTCTACATAGTGAGTTCTAGTACAACCAGAGCTACATAGAGACCCTGTCTCAAAAAAAAAAAGAAAAAGAAAAAGAAAAAAAAAAAGAAAAAGAAAGAAAATGAGCCCATGGTGGCACATGCCTATAATATTAGCACTCTGGAGGCAGAGACAAGCAGACTCTGTGAATTTGAGGCTAGCCTGGTCTACATAGTGAGTTCCAGGTCATGAGTTATATGGTGAGATCCTATCTCAAAAAGAAAAAGAAAGAAAAGAAGTAATAGTGCCCCATGGACTCTTGCATAGGCCAGTCTGATGGAAACATTTTTTCAACTGAGATGCCCTCTTCCCAGGTGACTCCAGTTTGTGTCCTGTTGACAAAAACTAACCAGCACAGAGGTGTATAAATGTCTCTCTGTATAGTGTTTATGTATGTGAATATGTATGTAATTCTCAGACTCTGTACAGCCTTATTCTGTAGAAGCTAAGTAAACAACAGTTTTCAACCAATTTCATCAAAGAGAAAGGTGTTTCAGTTTTTCAGTGAGGGATGCAGAATTAGGTGGAGCTGCTAACACCTTACTATGTGGTTGGGAAGTAAGGATGCCTTTGTGTAAGGATGTAGATGGTCACAGAGACAACATAGGAACTGACATAATGGTGCTTGAGTGAATTTAAAGGCCTTGAGGAAATGGGAAGTGCTGCTCCTGAATAGGATGGTACTTTGGAGCATGCTTTCTTGGACCACCAACCAGCTCCCAAGTCAAGACATGCAGACTTACGAAAGCTTGGCCTTAGCTTAGGCTAGTCCCACTGGCTTTTATGACTTAATTTAACCTGTTTCTCTTCATCTCTGTTTTGCCTCAGGGCTTTTTACCTTTCTTTGATTCTGTGTGTTCTACTTTTCCTGCTTGTTCTGTATCTGGCTGACTGCTGGCTGCCTGGCTAGCTGGCATCTGGTGTGTCCCTCTCTCCCTTGTTCTCTCTGTTCTTCCTGAGTCTAGATTTCTCCTATTTTCTGCCTGACAGCCCCGCCCAGCCCTCTCCTGACTACCTATTGGCCATTCAGCTTTTTATTAGGCCAATCAGGTGTGGCTTAGGCAGGCAAGGTAAAACAAGTGCAACACATCTTTACATAGTTAAAATATTATTCCACAACAGCAAGCTACTCCCAAAACTATAGAAACAACATAAACATCTGGCTGCCTGGACAGCCACCTAAGATTCCTTTGCAATGTTGGGGCATCCTTCTTCAGTCTACAGGCCTAGAATATCTGGCAGGCTTTTCTATGAAGCAGGAATTTTGAAGGACTGTCCTGTCTTGTTTTGGCAAAGTTCAGCAGTCACTTTCCTGTGTGTCCTGCATGTCCAGTGTGTACAGCATATTGTCAGCAGGCGAGGCAAGGACAGTTTTTGCCCAAATGGCTAACTTTGCCACAGTGAAAGCAAATTCCATATGGAGTTTCTTCAATGCCCATCATCTTCTTTTGAAGTAAATTGGTGCTGTCCGGAGCATATATGTCTTACTGTCATGAAAAGCCTTAGGTTATTAAACATCTCTAATGCCATATTCTGTAGGTCTCTGAAGCATTTGAAGATCATGTATCTAAAATGTATGTTTGACCTTGAAAACAGCTAACATGACTACAAGTTTGATTACTATAGATGACTAACTACTAACCTGCATTTCTTAATTATATATTACATTTTTAAATGAGCTGCATAAGCATAACACCCCCAAACAAGAGTAGAAACATACATGCAATGTAACATAATTTTAAATTTGTATCAATATACCAAAATCCATACCAATGTAAAATATTTGAGGTTAATAGTTGTCTTTTTATCCTATATTCTTCTCTCTCCCCCTAAATGATGACAAACATCCATAACCTACTGAATGAACAAAACCACCACCCCAACTCTTAGAAATGTGGGCGTTGTGTTCTCTTGACTGCTTCCTGTTGTCTGAGGATGATGCCATCTTTAAGGGACCCTGAGAAAATTAAGATAATGGTCAAGTCCTGGGAAAAGTAGTTATAACCTTTGCTATCCAGTCTCAGAACTGTTCCCATGCTAAGGGATCAGTATATACATCACCTGTCATCTACTTTGTTTGTTTGTTTGTTTGTTTTTGGTTTATTTCTTTGTCTGTAGCCAAGATTTTCAGGAAGTCTCCCCTGACCAAACCTGATCTTTGTTAACCTTGAAGGAATCCACAGCCTTTTGTTTCTTAATGGAAACAAAAGCATAACCTCCTCCCCAGTGCAATGCATTTTCTGAATTCCATTTTAAAGTTAAGGTATCCCTAAAGTATCTAGGCTGGTTTAATTCAACAGTCCCTCTCAGCATCTATCGTTCGCTCATCAACATTCAGAAAATTCAAAGCAGCACATCATCACAGAATCCTGACTCCCTGTGTATTTCCCATCTTATGTGACTTTTTCCTTTATATTACCTTACTTTCTCTTTAAGGACTTTATTATTTTTAAACTTTAGTTTTTCCTATGACTGTCTATACCCATTTTCTTTTTTTCTTTTTTTGGTTTTTTCGAGACAGGGTTTCTCTGTGTAGTTTTGGTGCCTGTCCTGGATCTTGCTCTGTAGACCAGACTGGCCTCGAATTCACAGAGATCTGCCTGCCCCTGCCTCCCGAGTGCTGGGATTAAAGGCGTGCGCCACCACCGCCCGGCAAGGAGACTTATTATTATGAATGCTTGGCCTTATCTTATGCTTGTCCCACTAGCTCTTATAACTTAACTTAACCTGTTTCTCTTCATCTATGTTTTGCCTGGGGACTTTTTACCTTTTCTTTCCTTCTGTAGGTCTTACTTTCACTGTTTGCTCATGTCTGGCTGGCACCTCTCTCTCTTTCTCCCTTGTTCTCTTCTCTTTTCTCATCGTCTCCTGAGCCTAGATTCCTCCTTATTCTGTCTGTCCACCAGCCCCACCTGTGCCTCTTCTGCCTAGTTATTGGCCATTCAGGTTTTTTTTTTTTGGTTTTTCGAGACAAGGTTTCTCTGTGTAGCTTTGCACCTTTCCTGGGACTCACTTGGTAGCCCAGGCTGGCCTCGAACTCACAGAGATCCACCTGTCTCTGCCTCCTGAGTGCTGGGATTAAAGGCGTGCGCCACTACCGCCCAGCTTCCATTCAGCTTTTTATTCGGCCAGTCAGGTGCGTTAGGCAGGCAAGGTGAGACAGCAACACATCTTTACATAGTCAAACAAATGCAGCATAAACAAGTAATACATCTTTACACAGTTAAAGCAATATTCTACAACAGGTTGTCACAGTGGTTACTGCCACAGTCCACCCAGAGGCTGCAGTGTGGAGATGGGTAGATTTGTGGCAGGGGGCATTTGAAGCTGTCACTGTTCCAGGAGGGCAAAACGGGGCTGGTAGCATGTAATTGGCATCTTCTGTCTTGGCAGATGAAGGGCGCTCTGATGGATATTATCCAACTGGCTACCCTGGACTCAGATCCCTGGGTCCTCATGGTTGCTGACATTCTGAAATCCTTTCCTGACACGGGTTCACTGAATCTAGACCTCGAGGAGCAGAACCCCAATGTTCAAGACATCTTAGGAGAACTTAGAGAAAAAGGTAAGTAGCCTATCTTTATTTTACAGTTGGAGGAAGGGGGCCTCATTTTGGAAACTGGTTATCCGTATCACACTGTTGGTGTAATGTGCTGTGGCTCTCCTTTCTTGCATGCTTCAGTCTTCCCCATGCATGTGCTATGTCTGGAATTGTATGGCTTTCTTGCATGCATGTGCTATGTCTGGAATTGTATGACTTTCTCACACGCATGTGCTATGTCTGGAATTGTATGACTCATCCATGGTTGACTTGCCACAGCTGTCTCTCTCCATAAGCTCCATGAAGATGAACACCTGCAGGTTATGTCTTCAGATCCTAAAACATACATATCCTGTCCTAAATAACAAATGTAGAATCATAACTAAGAACCAACCAGGAAGTCGCTAGAATCTGAGGGGAAAACAGGAAAACAGTTGGTGTGGTTTTAGAGCTGCGACAGTGGGAATGTCCGTGCCTCTGATGCTCTCTCCCGCTTTGGAAAATGGAGGCTTGAGGATACGCACTTCTAAATGGCTGCTTGGGAGGCCCTAGTACTTTTTGGGGTTTTGTTAATTTGTAATTGCAGACTGGGAGCACTGCCCTGCACCGGTCACCTCCCTTCCTGGAGTGGCTGATTCTCCTGGGAGCAGTAAGATGAGGCAGCTGGCTTCTCAGGAGTCTACGTCCCTTGCTCATTGGGGTTTTTCAGTTGATTGGGGCAGCTCCTTGGGGTTTTTCAGGCTCTGACCTCTTGGGGACCACACTGAGTCAGGAAGCAGACATGGATAGTTTTATAAGACTGCAGTTGAGTAGAGTCTGGGGTGACCAGGCACCAGGACTCTGTAGTCAGAGGGAGAGGCCTTTGCTGGTGTTGAGGCTGCCGTGTAGTGAAGACGCCTCACTGGTCTCCATGCTGCGGTACGGAGTGCGCTGTGGTTCCTGGACCCCGTGGTCTGTGGCTTGCAGCTAACATAACTGAGGAATCCTTGTCTTCTCTTCTCGCATTTCTTATCTTTAAGAAGCCGCTGGAGAGTCTGATGAGCCTTCCTCTAGGTGGCAGGCCTATCCTTTGGTCCTGACCCACTTGGATGATCTTGGATTCTAGAGATGATAGAACTGGAGTGGTGGGAACCACAGGGGGTTGAAACCAAAGCCAAAGCTGCCATGCTGGTAAATAATGAAAGCCTACATGGAGCCGTCTGCACGTGCACGTGAGCTGTGAGGGTCACAGCCTGAGCTCCCTGCTGCAAGGCCTCTGACTTCTTCCAGTGACACTCTGGTTCTCCACAGTGGGCGAGTGCGAGGCATCTGCCATGCTGCCACTGGAGTGCCAGTACCTGAACAAGAGCGCCCTGACCACCCTTGCTGGGCCCCTCACCCCACCCGTGAAGCATTTTCAGCTGAAGCGGAAACCCAAGAGCGCCACTCTGCGGGCAGAGCTGCTGCAGAAGTGTGAGTGCCCGAGTTACAACAGTCCTGCCCTTTGCTCTGTGGTGTTTTCAGATGTGTTTACTTTAAAAGACATAGCCTATCCTGTCTGTGTTGAATCTGCTGTTTAGAGACCTTAGGGTTTTCAAGCATGGTTCCTGTAATCTCACAAAGTGGAATCTGTGCCGGCCAAGATGGGGTGCGAGGCTGCTGCTTATGTCCTGACCTTAGTCTTGAGCCACATTTGGTCTCTATCCTAGAAGATGTTGGATGATTTCATTAAATGCTTTCCCAGATCATGTCTTATGACAGTTTATATGGAAGGCACTTACTTGCTGGAGAAAGTGTCCTTTAGCCGAATAACATTAAAGCATGGGTTTTAAGAAGCCAGGTGTACTGTGGACCTGGGCTGCAGCTTCTGGAGATACTGAGGCAGAAAGATCACTTGAGCCCAGATAGGCTTAAGACCAGCCTAGGCAACATAGGCTTTTTCTTTCTTTCTTTCTTTCTTTCTTTCTTTCTTTCTTTCTTTCTTTCTTTCTTTCTTTCTTTCTTTCTTTCTTCCTTCCTTCCTTCCTTCC